CAACTCACTCGCCGCATCCAGTGCATCAGCGTATGCACCGAACGCAAACAGTGCGCCCGACTCATACTTTCCCGCGCAGACCCTCCGAGACGGCAATGGAAGAACAAGGTCTGTCAGCAAGACGGTCGAACTTGAGATCGATGCTAGCATGCTTTATGACTACTACCGCATGTACAATGTACTCACCATCGACGTACGGGACCGAACAGACTTCGACGCTGGACACATCTTCGTGCGGAACATCATGTGCATAGAACCATTGACGTTGCGCGATGGTGACTCCGCGGAACAGCTTCTGGACCGTCTCATCATATCGCCGGATGAGGAACAAGACATGTTCGACAAGAGGGCCGACTTTGACGTGGTCGTATATTACGATGAGTCGACAAAGAACATCGACTTCATGCATAGACACAACCGATCTGATAGCGAGATTGCGTTGAAGCGGTTATTCGACACCCTGCACGAGTTCAACGCGGACAAACCGCTCAGGCGACCTCCGGTTCTTCTCAAAGGTGGTCTTGACGCTTGGATGGACCTGGTGGGCCCGCAGGCTTTGAAGACGTCGAACACTGCTGGACAAGTGGCTGCTGGTCCGACGCGGGCTCGGGCTATCCGACGATCGCCAGCTGCCAGCCATATCGCGAGAAACAACACGCAAAGAAGATCAAAACGCGAATACGTTCCCATGGACCAAGAAGAGCAGCAACAGTGGTTGGAAGAAGCTCGAAAGGGGCGTGCTGCAGTCGAAGTGCCTCCGGCAGATGGTGAAGAGGAAGAAGAGCCTACACAAGATTTCTACCGTTCGACAGAAGAGTTCCTACGTCGATACCCCGATGTTGAAGCTGAGCAGTCATCTATGATGTACCCGTCCAAGTTTCAGTCGACCAATCAATACGTCGCACCTGCCATACCCGTCGCGCCTTCTCGTCCGCCGCCATCTGTTCCTAGGGTGAGTTACAGTGGCGTACATGACCGGCAAGAACAGAATCGCAATGTCGTCTACAACGGACAACCTCAATTTAGTAACCTGAGGCTACATAGGACGGGCCTGCTGAACTTTGGTGTCACGTGCTACATGAACTCGGTGGTGCAGTGTCTCAGTGGGCATCTATTGCTTTCAGACCTGTTCCTCACCGGACGATATCAGCGAGATCTTCAACGAGACAATTGGAAAGGAACAAAGGGGATCTTGCCAGAGGCATACGCGACGCTGCTGTCCAATCTGTACAAGGGCGATGTCACGTCCGTGCGCCCAAGCACATTCAGGGTAAGTCAAGGATGGAGGAAGAAAACAGGCATGGCTAACTTTGAACAGCGTATCTGCGGGCACTTCAACTCGCAGTGGGGTATTGATGAGCAGCAAGACGCCAAGGAGTTCCTGGAATTCGTTCTAGACTACATGCACGAAGACTTGAACCTAACCTGGAATAAACCGCCACTAAAGCCACTTTCGGACCAGGAAGAGTTGCAACGAGAGAGGTTTCCCCGCCAATATTCGGCAATGATTGAGTGGCGAAGATACCAACACCGCGACATGTCCGTCATCGGTGGTCTGTTCGCCGGTCAGCACGCTTCACAGCTTACATGCCAGACATGCGGCGTGACAAGTACAACATACGAAGCCTTCTGGAGTATCAGCGTGGAGATTCCTCGGGACGGCGAATGCGACCTGCGCCATTGTCTAAACTCATACTGCGCACCAGAGCGTCTAGCAGGAGACGAACTATGGCGTTGCCCTCGCTGCAAGAAAGACCGCGAAGCCGTAAAGAAAATCACCATCACCCGCGCCCCCGACACACTCGTCATCCACTTCAAGCGCTTCAGCGCCTCGCGCACGGAAAGCGCGCGGAAAGTCCGGACGCCTGTTAATTTCCCGCTCCAACGTCTCGACATGGGTCCCTTTGTCGAGCCACCCATGACGCCAGAGCAAGAAAGATATGTTTCTGAAAAGGCCCGCGATGGACCTGCGCAGCTTGCTGGCGTGAAGAGCGATCCTACTATGAATGGGCCGTATGTCTACAACGCCTATGCTGTTATCTGGCATATTGGTGCTACGCTTGGAAGCGGACATTACATCGCGTTCGTCAAGGATAAGTCTAGGGGATGTTGGCGCTCCTTCAACGACGATAAGATCACGGACTTTGATCCTGGGAACCTGCCTCCGCATAACCGGCTGCAGAATGAGAAGGCGTATATTGTTTTCTATGAGAGGGAGAGGGTTGCTGGTGGTGCTTTCTAGCACAGCGTTTATTCCATCCATAAAGATTCAGCGCACCAGGCGGAGTGTTTACGCGTATTTGGCTTTTGGCGCTGCATCTTGGGAAGTTTGGGTAGCGACAGTCTGATTAAGATTATACTTTGCGCGTGCGACGAATTATGTCTCTGGGATGGGGCATTGCATACTTGGCGTTGGGATTATATACCTTGTCGAATATTATTCCGTTGAGACGCACCAGTGGGTTGTTGCGTTCGTGTGTAAACTTGTTGTGATGTTTGCGACACGAACTCTAGCTACCTTAATGTCATAGTTCAGGTCGTCGTGAGGCTGACAGCCGATGATCGGGCGGCAGGGATGGTGAGGGCCGAACATTTTTTGTGCGATAAGATAAGGTTTCTGACTCTCCACACGTCGTTCCCCAGACGCCGCAACCCCTCTTCAATTGACTCTTCTTGACTCTTTCTTCTCACTTTCTATACCCTTTTATACACAAACACTTACAGATATGTCAAAGGGACGCGTTTGCCTTGCTTACTCTGGTGAGTACATTTACAACTAACAATTCCTGGCCAACCGGGTTCACTTGCGTTCACCTGCGTCTCACTGCGTTCATCTTGCTCAGTGCCAACAAACTAACCACTCATTAGGCGGCCTCGACACCTCCACGATCCTGAAATGGCTCATCGGTACGTCAGAAGCACATCGAGACACACCTCACAATCTAACGCGTAGTCAAAGAGGAGGGCTATGAGGTCGTCTGCTTCCTCGCCAACGTCGGCCAGGAAGAGCCGTGGGACGAGGTGGAGAAGAAGGCGCTCAAGATCGGCGCGAAGAAGATGGTCATCCTAGACCTGCAAAAGGAATTCGTCGAGGAGCTCTGCTTCCGCGCCGTCCAGTGCAACGCCTCGTACGAAGGCCGCTACCTCCTCGGCACCTCGCTGGCCCGCCCTGTCATCGCCCGCGCACAGATCCGCGTCGCGCAGCAAGAAGGCTGTGGGTTCGTCTCGCACGGCTGCACGGGCAAGGGCAACGACCAGGTCCGCTTTGAGCTGGCTTTCTACACACTCCAGCCTACTATCAAGGTTATTGCGCCGTGGAGGCTGCCGGAGTTCTGCGACCGCTTCAAGGGCAGGCAGGATCTGCTTGACTATGCTGAGAAGCATGGTATTCCGGTTACGTCTACCAAGGCGAAGCCCTGGTCTATGGACGCCAACTTGGCTCACTGCAGTTACGAGGCCGGTAAGACACCACATAACCAGGCTGTGTGTTCAAGGCTAATCATTCAGGCATCCTCGAGGACCCCGACGTGTCTCCCCCAGACGACATGTGGACCATGACCGACTCGCCCCTCAACGCCCCCAACGAACCCACCGACATAACCGTCCACTTCGAAAAGGGCATCCCCGTCAAACTCACCACCCCCTCAAAGACGTACACCGACTCCGTCGAGCTCTTCACCGCGCTCAACAAACTCGGCTTCACCCACGGCATCGGCCGCATCGACATCGTCGAGAACCGTTTCATCGGCCTCAAATCGCGCGGCTGCTACGACTCGCCCGCCATGACCATCCTCCGCCTCGCCCATCTCGACCTCGAGGGCCTCGTCATGGACGCCCAGGTGCGCAACCTGCGCGACCAGTTCGTATCCCACAACTGGAGCTACCAGCTCTACAACGGCATGTACTTCTCGCCCGAACGCGAGTTCATCGAGAACAGTCTGCTCTTCTCGCAGCGCAGGGTCAATGGCGAGGTCAGGATGAAGCTGTACAAGGGTAACGCGTATGTGCTTGGCCGGTCGAGTCAGACTGAGAAGCTGTACTCTGAGGAGGAGGCTAGTATGGATACGCTGGATAACTTTAGTCCTATGGATACTACGGGCTTTATTGCTATTCAGAGCATTCGGTGAGTTAATACGTCTAGTCCTTGAATGGTATAGATGGTGTGGATCGTTTGCTAACATAAGGCAGTCTCAAGAAGTACGGGCTCCAGAAGGCGGAGGAGGGCGAGAACATGTCGAGGGCTTAGAAAGCTTCGTCTGATATGCATACTACGTTGACGTACTGGCGGAGGTGGCTGCATCGTGAGAATCTTCATGATCAGGTTACTTATGCGAGTTCTGAGGTTACGCCGAAGGGGAAGTCAAGCTAAGACTAGCGAAGCAATATCACGATGAGAACGACGGTGGGGTGAAAATAGATACCAATGATAAAAGTCATACCACTAATCTGGACATATGTTTGCGTGTTGTCTGGTGACGAGAGATTTGCTGAGCCTGCTGCCAACAGATATTCACATCATGCAAGGAACTTAGCTAAAGCTACCCTAATACGCCCATTCGATCTCTAATGTGTAGATTCACATTAGCCAAGTCCAACATACTGCAACAACCTCATTGGCTGACGCGACTGCCAAGCACTAATTTCCAAATGCGGGTTGAACCTCTTCCGAGCGTTCCGATATCGGCTCGCTACCGCTGATGTTGAACCTCACACTCAGGTTCGCATTCGTCTGCGTTTGCAAATCCTCTGCTCGGGAAGCTGATGTAGTCTGTACCCGGAGTGTACATGATCGTCTTCTCTTCTTCCTCCGCATGTATCCGCGTCTTTTCTGCTCCGTCTTCTTTAGACTTGTCAACTTCTCGTTGCTCGTCCGTTATAGACGTCGTTGTCGTATGCGCCGCTTGATCATCTCGGGATCCCGCTGTCTTCCTTTTGTTCCGCGTCCATGTCTATATTCTCTTTTCATCCATACCCTCTTCCGTCCGCATCCTCACCCTCACTCACTCCCTTCCAAGGTTCTCTTGCCTACGTTGCGCCTCAACCCATTCCTCAGTCGTTAGGTACAAGCTTGACCGTCTCCGCCTCGATCCAGCATCCTGCTGTCGTGCCTGCCCGGTGCTGCCGTTGTAGTTTCCTGGTTGTCGCGAGGAAGGGCCTGCGTAAGCCGCAGGTGGGTTGTAGTCGGCAACAGGGTAGTTGGCCTGGGGTTGTTGCGCGGTCGGCTGTAGCTGCTGGTACGGTTGCGCATACATGGTGGGTGGATGCTGTTGTGGCGGGAAATTATTGACGAAGTTCTGCGCATACATCGAGCCCGGCTGCGGTATGACGACGTTGTTGATGGAGCCTGGCGCGTTCATCGGGCCCGGCTGGAAAGTAGGCTGGCCATGCGCCTGCTGTGGAGCATACATGGTCGGCGCATATGGGCTTTGGTAAGCTCCAGCAACATTGTAGCCGGTAAAGGTAGGTTCCGGAAGGGGTTGCTGGTAACCGGGAGCAGGAGCAGGAGCGGGATACCGATGGAAGATCGGATGTGAAGCCATCTGATCAAGGCTGTACGACCCATCCGACGGTTCAAGAGGAGCCATATCCCCGGATGGACCCAACAAGAAGTTCTGGAATTCCGAAAAGTCAGACAGGAATTGGACTTCCCCGCCATTCTCATCAGGCACCCCATCCTGAACTGCTTCCAAGTTCAGTCCAGCTTCTTGAAAGTCCTCAGCTTGCAAGGTATCTTCCTGGAAGATATTTCCTGAAGGCTGATGTCCCACAGCATGCGAAGGGCCATAACTCAAAGTACCCTGACTTGAGTTCGAAGGAAACCTCATCAGATCCGTTTCAGAGATGATATTACCAAACTGGTGTTGCGGGTAATGCTGGTATCGCTGGTATTGTTGCTGCTGCGGCTGTACGAAGTCCATACGCGAGGCCGGTGACGTAACATAGCTTCGAGGTGCAAGCGAAGACGGAGCATATCGCTGGCTGCGCACGTCGTTCCTCGGCGCAGTCCTACCACCAGATCGGACATTTGTCGCTACATGTGGTTGGGCCACATGTTGTTCTCGTGTATGGATGGCCAACTGTTGTCGGGGAGCAGGAGGACCAGGAGTCGGTATGGTTGGCAGAACCCGAGGCCAATTCTCGAGCGCGAGTGTAGCCTCACTCAGGTCCGCTGCATTAGTGATATTACCGTTACCATCCCGTCTTGCCTTTGGCGATCCCGGAAGAAGCGGCCGTTGTCGCCGCGGTGGTGGTGGTGTCGAGTCTGCACTGCGACGTTTGCGTCGGTTAGGCTTTGTGATTGCGTTGGGAGCCATCTTGAATGGTTCGATTGACAGGGAGAGGTATGTTAGTAAGGAGAAATTGGTTTATGCTAAAGAGATTTCAGATGTTAACGAGCATATTATATACGCAGCGTTTTTCAGCACGCGCAGTGAAGTTCGCTAGAGAAGACGGATTTGGACATGGTAAGAACATCTATCCGTGGTTCAACAACGTTCAACTATAGGTGTTTCTTCTACGCTACACACAGCAAACAACATATCAATATTGTATGCCCTTATACCAGAAGAGGCGGCTACCTAAAGTATGCGCACATGTCTCTCTCGTCTCGGCCAAAATCAGCGACTGCCTCCGTAGACCAGCTCCTGCCGTCTCGTTGCTGTGAAACCTCATATATCATCCTCTCTGAGTCGAAATCGTACTTGTAAGATGGCTCTGCAGGCGCCAGTCGCTTGCGGCAAGCTTCCTTTGGTGCCTTGCTTGCCCGCCTATCCGCGTGCATCTTACTGTCATCCTGCATTTTTCTCGGGCGCCCACCACGGAATGCCAACTTTGGGACTCCACCGCTACTACCGACTCTACTAGCCGCGTTTACCTTACTGTGATCCTGCACTCTGTCCGGGCGCCCACCACGAATGACCAACTTTGTTTCTGTAGCTCCATTGTTACCACCAACCTTAGTTTCACTGCGCACCTTCCTAGGGCGCCCACCACGGATTACCATGTTTCTCTTTACAATTCCACTGTTGCTACCAATTCGACCATAGTTGCGAGTCTCCGTGTGCACCCTACTGCCATCCCGCACTCCCCTCGGGGGCCCACCTCGAATTGCGAGCTTGGTGACTCTACCGCTCCGACCAATTCGACCATAGTTACGCTTTTTCGGTGCCTTGGGTCGCGACTTAGCTCGCTTCTCTTCTAATTCCCGCAGAGCTCTCTCTAGCGAAGCGTTGTCCTCCTCCGGCGTTCGCGCGTCATCTTCGGACTCGCTAATCCACTGATCGATGGCTAGGGGTGAGAGCGGAGCAGATGAGGAGTCTAGATCTTGGTGGTCATGTAATTCGGAGGACGGAGAAGGGTGGCTGACTGTTGCGATGTACATGAACTCCTCTGCTAGACCTGCCATGTCAGTACCGAGAAGGCTCGTAACTTCATCTTGCCGTTTGCGCTGTGTCTTGCTTTGAGCGGTTAGCGGGACCTCGATATCGTTGACTTGGTCCGCTAGGTCGGTCATCTCGCTGTCGCTCATTTTTGGTGGATGATGGTGCTTTCATGATTTGAGCAGCTGATGTGCCGGATAGGAGTGAAAATCTGAAGGAGGGCAATTACTGTGCAATATATAAGGGCGAAGAAAGTGCTAGACTGAGACAAGATTGTCTCGAATAGGCTGTGTTTCGTTGGTCCTAAGGCTCGGTCATTTGGCTAGACTTCACTTTGGCGTACTTTCCAATCCCATGACAATGTACAATGAAACAATTACCAGTCTATTACAATCTCATATGTGCCAATATTATCCTACACCCACTCATACAAAGAAAAGTATATACCATTACGCTGTGTTCCTGATTGAGAGTCTGGAGCATTTTGCCATGGTTTTACATAGTTTCGGGATGCGACAACCCCGCAAGTAGTGGTCTCACTCAAGCATAGCTTCCACCAAACATACTGACACTGCGGCCCATTCGCCAAGCACCCCAGAGCACCATACCCAAGATCGCTAGGTTGGCAAACTGCCTGCAGATGACGAGCAGGAAGGTCGTAGCCAAGACGGAATTGTCCGACCACCCGGAGGTGTCGACGTAGAGGAGGATGATATCGTAGATGATGAAGATATCGCGAAGCCAGATAAGAGGTACAACGGTGAAAGCGAAACGAGCGAGGTCGTTGCGTTCAGGTGACTGTGGAGCGTTAGATACGGAACTTGATATCAGGCTATTAAGGGCAAGACTTACACCATGAGCATTCTTGTTCGTGGTACCATACTCCCTCCACACTTCGATGGAAACACTCATACTGGCTGCGACAACGATAGCTTCGTGCACGATGTAGGTAATCCTCGTGGCACGGTCATGCTGCATGACGTTTGACCAAGACAAAAGCGCATCCGGGCCGGAACTACCAGTGCTGATGTCTCGTGCCTCCAGACCCAGACCCCAGGCTGCAACACCGGTACCTAGCATGGCAACCATGATGAACGTGTTCCAAATACGCGACATGGTCTTCGGCGTCGAAATACCCGTACCGTTCTCTTGGACATGACTAGAGTGAATCCAGACGCCGCCGTTGAGCAGCACGGTGAAGAAGATGATTGCGAGCGTTGTAGCGAAAGTAAGCGCTGAGATGGTCGAAGCATAGTCACTGCCTGTGAGAGTGTAGCCGCGGCGGCCGTTCCATCCCAGGTCCGCATCATAGTCGATCGTTCCGCTCGTCTTCAGGACATCGGATATGAAGCGACATAGGTACGCGACGAAGAGACAGAGAAGGGCTGGCCAGAGAAAGAGATACGTTCCCAGTGTCGTCTTCAGCGGGCCATCGCGCGCGCTGTTCTTGCCCGGTGCGGTGAAGCGACGCTGTTTTATCCGCTGGAAGGTAGGTCTCGAAGCCAGACCAAGGAAGATCAGGGCGCCAGCCGCTGTGATGACATCGAGGGCGAAAACGGCTTGGTAGGATTCTCGTTCGTTGGTGATGTTGATGTTGGACATGGCACGCTATGTGAGGTGAAGCGCGTGGGTAGTTCGACTCAGGTGAGTTTTGGATGGCAGATCGAAGTTGGACCGCAGCCCCATCTTTGAAGGCATGGCAAATGATGAAAAAGCATGCCTGATGGCTATGACGTTGATTGCTGTCACCCGCTTGGCAATAAGGTGTTGGGTGGATCTGTTCGGATCTGAGTGCCGACGATGGCGGTGCTCGGCAAGGACGGCAGGTATAGCGAAGACTCGTTCGAAAGCATGTGTCACAGCTGCTGCTATCCGTCCATTGTGCAGCAAGGGAAACAGCCCGATTTCATGGATGCAACGCGTGAAAGTATTCACACGTGTCGATGATGCAGCCCTGGGGTGAACGACTTGTGGAGGTTGGGGAATAGCCTAGCTGGTATGTGGGTTAGTCGGCGGGAGGAACGCGGACGCTAAATCATGATCTAACCGCTTCAGGATCTGGCAGTTCGCCCCCATCCCATTCCGTCATATCCGTTTCCTCGAGACGTCTCCTTTTTCTGGCGCATCTAGTGTCGCGTGGCATCTTCCTCGTCAAGAGCGACTGCAAATCCATTGGACACGGAGAGACGCACTGTGATGTCGATGGCGCGACACAGCCATTGGGGATCCTCGGAGCCGTTGCACTCCACTGCGCGTTAAGATGTGTATCACGCAGAGAATTAGCACGTTACATGTCAACTGATTCAGAACAAATGTATCACTACTTACATTAACCATAGAAAGAAGGATAGGAAAGCATAGATCATAGAAATACATAGGAAAGCAAAGATACCATACACCAATCCAACACCGCCGTTCCCGTCAGCACCTCACCAAGCGAACCCCAACGCCACCACCTACTCCTCGCCCAACCTCAACTTCCCCACAACCCCATCCACCAACCCCGCAATACTCGCACTCTGCAAAATCTCAAACACACTAACCATAACCTTCGTCTCTCTCTGAATCCAATTCTTGATCTCAACAGCCACCAATGAGTCTGTTCCGTAGCTGCTCATCGAACGCGTAGCATCAAGGTCCGATACATCCATCATCAGACTGCGCGACAGCTTCTTGAGCAGCGCTGCGAGGATGAACTCCTTCGCTGCCTCCGCAGACGGACAGGAAGAGAGCTGCGCGGAGAGCGATAGCGATGTAGTTGTCGTACCATCATCTGACGATTGAGCAGGCGCATCGATCTTGAGATGCGGGCGCAGGTACGGTAAATGACTCAACACGGGATCTCGTGCGAAGAACGGCGCTTCTCCGTCGTCCAGACTATTGATATCGAGATCTGAATCAAGACCAGTGACGACATGTCCCATCATCGGTTCGCGAATACCCAGCTCGATGAGCGCCAACATCTCCTTCTCGTGAATATGTTTGAACTCCTGGACTTGTACTTTGCGACCTTGAACTTTCTTTTCGACGACATAGCCCACGTCGCCGACGATACCCAGGTCGATGGCTGTGGCTGGCAGACCGAGCGCATTGCGGTATTTGGCTAGTGCGACTTGGTAGGCGCAGCCTGCGGCGTAGTTGGATTGACCGGGGTTGCCGATGAAGGAGTGGAGGGAAGAGAGGAGAACGAAAAAATCGAGGGGCTGGGATAAAGTGGTCTCGTGGAGGTTTTTTGAGCCGTGGACCTTGGGAAGGATAGTTGAAGTCCATTGATGCGAGGTCATTGTGCTGAAGAGGGAGTCGTTGAGGGTCATTGCGCCTTGAATTACACCCTTGATGGGTGGGAAGGAGCGCAGAGTTTTGGAAAGAAGGTTGGAAAGCTCGAGTGCGTCGGATACGTCACACTTCAGAATGGCAGTGCGGACGCCCGAGGCGTGCAGGGATTCGAGGAATGCTTGGGCTTCTTCTGATACTGCGCCGAAGCGAGAGATGAAAATGAGGTGTTTTGCGCCGTGGGTGACGAGCCATTGCGAGATGCTTCGTCCGAGACCGCCAAGACCGCCAGCGAGGAGGTAGGAAGCCGATGGATCGAAAGAGATACGGGGTGGTGGTCTCTGGGCAACCTGAAATTTGTTAGTCGCATCTTCGACATCGACACACGGATGGTGACTTACAAGAACTTGATCGTCAGCCTGCGGTACCATTACCACCTGCTTATCGTGACTCGCATCTTGCAACGTCTTGACAGCCTCGTTCAGTTTGGACCAAGGCAACACATCCGCAGCGCTACGGTCGAGCATCTTCATCTCGGTGGCAGCGCTCATAGCCTCATGGAATGCTCGACTCGCAAGCTTGGGCTTCTGCGCATACAGCAACGCCATATCGACTGAGGAGAAGGATGCGTTGCGGCCGAATGGAGTCATTTCCAGTCGGCCATTCCCTGGTGCATTGAGGTTTACAAATCTGCCAAAAGGCGCGATGCAGCTGAACGTCGCTTGTAATGCCTCGCCAGTCAGGGTGTTCAGGATGACATCAACACCGCGGCCTTTAGTCGCGCGCCGAAGTGCAGTGACAAACTTAAGATCGAGACTGGAAAAGATACAGGCTTTGTTGAGGCCATAGGCCTTGGCAACGTAGCTCTTCTCTTCGTCGGATCGCACGGTTGCAAAGATCTTTGCGCCCGCCTTGGATGCAGTCGCGATACTAGCCTGGCCAACAGCGTCCGCGGCCTCGTGAACGAGAACAGTCTCACCGGACCGTATATGCGCGACGTGGTTGAGCGCATAGCGAGCAGTCGCATGCGCCTGGGGCAATGTAGCTGCGACTTCAAAATCCATGCCATCGGGGATCGCGTGCGCAAAGGTTGCTGGCACGCGCACTTGGGTGGCGAATGTGCCCGGATACCATGCTACCACTCGATCGCCAACGGAGAGGTCCGACACTTCATGGCCAAGATTTGTGATGACACCCGCACACTCTTGTCCAAGCTTGCCATCGTAGTCCTCTCCATTCAGCATCTCGACGTCGCTGGAGCCGAGACTCGTAGCGCGAACCTCGATTCCGACTTCGTCAGCTTTAACAGGTTGCGCAAAGCGCACATCCTCTTCGAAGACGGCCACGTCTGATGCGCCTTTGTTGACATTGCTGAGCTTCAGCGGACGACCATTCTGAAGCACATTCTCCATCTGCGGCCGCAAAGCCGTCGCATCAGTCCGACCAACCAGGAACTCATTCGATTTCTCATCTTGAATCGCACGCTTAATGTTAAGAACGCCACCCTGCTCAACAAATTCGCTATCGACCAGAGTAGCGCTCTTCGCAGTACTGAGCTGTTTCTCATAGATGCTGAGAAGCAACTCGGCGACCTTGAGAGCAGGCAGGTTCGTCCTGGCATCTAAATCGACTGTGACGCACTTGAAGCTCTCATTCTCAGCTCGCAACGCACGCGCAAGGCCTTGGAATATGGCAAGTTCAGGACGTTCAACATCCGAAGACGCCGCGCCTCGGGTGACCCAGATCAAACCTGCCGATGCATCGGCGATGTATTGGAGGGTCTTCATGTCTTCTGAAGTGGGATCGGTGAGCAAAGGCTCTTCGAGCTCGACGAAGCTGACGCAAATCGTATGAGCAAGATCTTGTTGGCCAAGCT